GGCCAGCACATGACCAGGGCGTAGGGAAGGCCTGGATTCTGGGGCTTGGCACTTCAGACACCTGAAAAGAATTCCAGGGAGGGTTAGTGAGGCAGGAGCCTCCAGCACTGGTTCTGTTCCTCGAGGTCCACTGCTGAGGAGAGAAGGGGTGTGTTAGTCCTACTGAGTGGCCAAGGTGGCCGAGCAGAGCGAGCATGTTCCAGTGGTGACTGGTGAGGACTCTCTCCTGGGATACAGGCAGGGGCAGCGGGCTGGAGAGAGACTGCCCCCCCTGCCTGCTGTCCTCTCCTCCTCCCCCCCAAACCCAGCTCCACGGACATGCGAGGGGCTGCTGAGTTACTATACCTGGGCGACACCCGTCACAGTTAAAGCTACCCCCTCGGCGGTCTCTACGTCCTCGCAGCGGGGCTGCAACGTCATAATCTCTAGGGAAATCCTGCCAAGAAACGCAAAACAGGGGCATGGGTCTGGGGGCCCAGGGCTTAGGGGCATAGGAAAGAGTCCCGTACCTCACTGCTCCAGCTGGGAAGGGCAAGGGTCCTGTGGAGAAGGCGGTTGGGCAGAACTCTCGGTTAGGTTTGAGCACCGAGCAGGTCTGGAAGTGTGTGCGAAGGCAGGGGGAGAGAGGCAGGGTAGGCACCGGTGGATCCAGGGACAAATGTATGCGCTCCTGTCTTTGCTCTCAGCAGCCTGGCCTGGGGGGTGGGGAGGAGTAAGCGCACAAGGAGGGTGGTCAGGGTGTTATTGGTGGAAGTGTCCCCTCAAAGTATGTGTTGTGTTGTACATCCTAACGACTGCACTCCATTCCTTTGTTATGCTCAGGAGATGAGCTTTGTGTTGGATGTGAGTTAACCTCTTTTGAGATGCATTCCTTCTCAGACATGGAGTCCATTCTGATGCTGAGTGACCCTATAGGGCAGGGTAGAACTGCCTCTGTGTGTTTCTGAGACTGTAAATCTGTATGGGAGCGAGGAAAGCCTCCTGTTTGTTTTTTCTTTGGCAGTAGCTTATGGTTTCCAACCGCTCACCTTGCGATTAGCAAGCAGCCCAATGCATAACCCAGTATGCTAACAGGGCTCCTATCAAAGATATTAAACAAATGAGCACAAAAGAGATGTCAGGCCACATGAAGATCAGCTAGAAGCAGAAGCTCAAAAGAGAGGGGGCCTTCCCTACGAGATGGACTTCTAGCTTCGTAACCTGTGAGAACAGAAGTTTTTGTTTGCTGAGGTGGTATTTCTATTATTTGTGGCATTTCTGCTAGTTGCAACATTAGGTAACGAAGACAGGATTTGGTACCAGAAGAGACGGGTGGTTGCGCTCACAGATGCTCAAAATGTGGAGTTTGGGAACTGGGTCTTGGGTAAAGGCTAGGAGAGTTTGAAGGTGCCGGATTGTAAAACCTGGACTGTTGGTGGAGTTATGGAGGTCAAGGGTCATTCTGGTGGGGCTTCAGGGACGTGAGGAGAGTTTCAGAGAAAGTCACCAATGATGTAGAGAATTCACATGATGCCAGCCACAGAGTGTTGCCAGGAATCCAAACATTCCATGTGCCTCTGATGAGGCTCTACAAGGGAATGATAATGATGAACATGTGATTGGACAATGGAGGAAGGGGCCTTTTTTTTTTTTCTCCAGTGCAGCAGCAAAGAACTTGCCTGAATTATGTCCAGACAGTGAGTAGAAAATAAAACATTGTGCACGATGAACTTGGGCTATCTGGCTCAGGAGCCTTTGAAGCAAGAGCTTAAAGGGGCCGCAGGGTCGTTCCTTGCTGCTTATAGCAAAATGTGAGCGGAACCAGACGGACCGCAAAAGGAGGGCAGAACTTAAACCTGCTGTCTACAGTACGGATGGACACCTGGCTATGGATGCTCCCCGAGGACGGGCGACAGAGTCTTATGAAAAATGAAGCTGGTGACTGATGGGTGTAAGCAGCCAGCAGAGCATGAAAAATTCATCAGCTTCCAGTGGTTCTCAACCTTCCTTGATCTTAGCCAAAAGGCCGAGAAGCGATGGTTCTCAACCTTCCTAATGCTGCGACCCTTTCATACAGTTCCTCATGTTGTGGTGACCCACCCAACCATAAAATGATTTTCATTGCTACATCATAACTGTCATTTTGCTACTGTTATGAATCGGGTGACCCCTGTGAAAGGGTCGTTCGACCCCCAAAGGGGTCACGACCCACAGGTTGAGAACCATTGACTTCGACCTAAGAGAAAGAACGAGAGAAGGCTGTCTGCCTCTGGGAATTCCACAGGCACCAAGCAGACCAAAGCTACATTACAACTGCTATCTAAGAAAAGGACCAGCCCTGGAGCCAGCTTGAAGATCCGCAGAAACCCTGAAAGGAGCCTCGGAAGGAGGCCCTTCTAGGTTACAAAAGATGGGGCCACAGCCTCTCCTAGGTTTCAAATAATTGGATCTTTGACAACTCAGTTCCAGACAGTGGGTGTGCCAAGGAGGTAGCCCACCACCCAAAGTGGAGGGGGCAGGGCTGCCAGGCCCAAGAGATGGAAGTAACTGGGTCTGCGAGGACTGAGAGGAAGGAGCGGTCACTCAGATGGACAAAGAGAATGGGGTCACTTAGAGGTTGGAACAGAATTGCCACCCCAGATGGCTCAGAAGGCAGAGCTGAGGCCAGAGCTCAAGGGCCTCCACCCAACATCTAGAGGAGGTGGCTGACGCCAGTCTGGAGGGTAAGGCCAATGCCAAGACGACCTCAGAGAGCAGGATTGCTTTTGAACCTCAAGAGCGAATGTCAACCTTTCTGTTGGGTTTTGGACTTGCTCGGGCCCGTCCTTTCTGTCTCCCATTTGTAATGGAAACGGCTCCCTGTGCCTTTTCTGACACTGTGCTTTGGAAGCAGGCGCTTGGATTATAGAGGTCCCAGGTTCGCAGATGAAAGGAGCTCGGCCCTAGGTCGGAAGAGACCTAACCTCTCACTCGTATTTCATTCAGACAATGCAGAAGAGGAGCTCTGGACTGCAGTTGACAGAGCCTTTGGGATGATGCGATGGTGTCAAGGTGTCTTGCATGTGGGAAGGACGTGCATTTGTGGCGGGGCGGGAAGGGCAATGGGCAGAACACGAGAGGTTGCATTGTGTATCCCAAATTATGCCTTTCAAATCTTGTGGTTTTACTCTCACTTGGGACCAGGCTGTCTGGTATGCTACAGAGGCAGGACTACTGTACGGTGCATTTTGAGTCCATCTTTTTTGAGGTAGAAAAGAGAACAAACAAGTGAACAGAAGAGATGAGAGAAGAGAGAAACCAAGTCACCCGATTGCCCGGGAGCAGAAGCTAAGGGAGCCCAGGCCCTTCCTCTACTAACAGAAAGCAATCCCTTCTTTAGAGTGGACACCCTGAAATTGAACTTCGGGCCTCCTCCATGGTGGACAAATGAACAACTGTTTGCTGAAGCCATGGTGGAGGTGTTTGTGTCAGAGCAGCACTAGACAGCTCAGGTCAGTGGTCCTGAGGCTGGAGGGATGAATCAGAGTCCTAGGGCGCTGTGTCTGTATGTCCTGGGCAGCAGGCGGACATTGGGACCCCAGACTGTGCTGTGTAGGCCAGCTGTGGATGCTGTCTGAGTATCCTCAGGACCCTCACCTATTAGACTGGTCTGGAAGTATGCCCGCAGCTGGGTCAAGATGGGTCCTGTACTTGCCCCCTGGAGCACAGGCTCTGATTTGCCGCCTGCCTTCTTCTGGTGTGGGGCCTGGGCGGAACATGTGGAGGATACAGGATACAGCCTGGGGCCATTGAGAGCTGCCCAGCCAAGAAGCTCCAACACCCAGAAAGAGATGTTCTACCCAGACAATGGACTCTTCTGGGGTCTACAGTCACCCGGCCTGACCTGGAGCTGGACCTCTGCAGATGGTCTGAGTGGTGTAGTGCGTTTGGAGGGCGTTAGGCTGCCTCCCAGGGTGTCAGGGGGAGGCCTGGGCAGTGCCCATTCCATACAAGGTGCTTTGGAGCTTCTCCTCGGGGCTCTGTTACTGAAACCTGCCCTCCCACAGCAATTAAGGCTGGTGAGATTAGAGATGGCAGAATGGTGGTGCGGGGGTGGGGGAGAGAGAGGATTTTTGCCTGAGAAGGCCGAGGGGCTTTTTAGAGGAGAGGGGACCTGGTGATATGGCAGTTTGGCTCCTCCAGCCTGGGACCTGCTGGAATACAGGCTCAGAGGAGACGGGGCTATTTTCATGTTCATGGCCTCCCTCCCAGTGCCTGGGACTGAGCAGGTGCTGGGGAAGAGCTGATGGAGGCAACAATGCAGCAGGGGCTGGCATTTGAGATAAATCACTTGGAGTTACTTGACATCCTGGCCCAAGAGTGGATTCCCTGCAGCAGGCTGGGTGGGGGTGGAGAACAATGACTTGGGGCGGGGGAGCGTACTACTAATAAAGCTTGGGGGTCTCTAGCATATTTCCTCACATCATTTTATTTGCCTTTCCAATGTCCCTATAAGGCAAAGAGAGGGAGGAGTCTCCAATTCAGGGCAGGGAAAGGGACACCTAGCCACCAGCCCTTGCCCGGAAGCTTGTCCTGGAGATGAAGCCTTCCCTGTCCCACGGACGCTGTGGAGGAGCCCGGAGCTGGTGAACAGTGCTGTCTTGGGGAGCCAACTGCTGGCTTTGCAGAGAGGAGGACTAGGGTCTGACACTGGGCCCCCCAAATAGAGAAGCAAGGACTCCCGGCACCTATGCTGTGGAAGGCCAGAACCTTGGCAGGAGAGGAGAGGACAGAGCCTGCCCGCCTAGACAGTCCACCCTGTCAGCTAGGGACAGGGTCTTCTCTATCTGCCTCAACTTGTTCCCAATAGAGGCAGGCATCCAGGGAGACCTCCGGGGGGTGTACACGGCAGAGCTTCCAGGATTCTGAGCACAGCCCCCGAGGCTGAGGACGAGTGTCTGGGTCTCCAGGAATCCATCCTGGCTCTGGCCGCCTTTGTACCCAGTGCAGCAGAGGGTGGGAGCGGAGCGGGGAGGCGCCCACTCAGGAGGCAGTCTTAGCCGGCTCCTGCCTGCCAGGCCCTGATGGGCAGGAAGAGAGAAGGTTAGACACAGAGGAGGAAGCAGGTGGGTTATTACCTGTGCAACCCCTGTTACGAATAGCGGGACCCCCTCCGACGTCTCAATATTCTCACAGCGACACAGGATGGTCATAACCTCCAGAGACAGTCTGAGGAGCAGCCGGGGGCAGGGAGAGGTAGGGACAGGAGGGGGTAGGAGGGGACACAGCAAACACACAGTTACCAGACAAGCACCAATGCCTTGATGCTGGGGTTCGGCGGGGCGCTCTCTGCACTTCAAACCACCCCCCACTCTGCCAGCTCAGCCTACGCTTGGGAGGATGGGGCGCAGAGGCACCTTCTTGCTGGTCCAAGGGCCATGGGGGTTAGAGGGTGGGCGGGGCAGGGGGGGGGTCTCTTCTCTTGGCTGGGGGCCTATCTAGTGAGGACCTGTTGAAGGTTGGGGCCCAGCCTGAGCCGGGAGAGAGCTGGTGTGCCCATCTCAAGTTCCCAGGGGATTCCTAGCACAGGCTCAGGGACATGGCCTCAACACCCTCCCCCCATGCCACACAAGGCTGCCTGCATTTCCAGATCCTGGGAGGGGAAAGGCCACCCTGTGCTGACTGCATCCTGGAGCACACCCCCTCTATGTCTGGGCTCCATAGCACCAAGAAGACAAGTCAGGGGCCAGACAACCCCGAAGAACATAAGTTGTTTTTTTTTCCCCAATTGGTGGGGGTTGGCCAAAGAAGTTGGAGGAGCAAGTTTGCTGCCGCCAGAACATTTACCCCCCCGGGGCTACTGGGAGACAGTGGAGCAATTCACTTGGGAGTTTCCAGAGTTGAGACTTGGCTGAGAAAGAGTTTGGCAAAGAAGCACCTGGAAGCCACTTGCCCCCACCTCCCTGGCAGGGCCTTCCTAGGACAGCGTCCGTCCGAGGGTGTGTGGAGGCTGGGGCCTGGGCAGGGGCCCGGCTGTGGACAGCATTGCGGGACTCCTTCCGAAATGTAAAGGGAGGACAGAGTGGCGGCTGCAGAGGCAGAAGCAGGTAGACTGGAGAGAGGGGTGGGGACAGAGGGACGGGGGAGCAGCAGACGATGTGGAGTCCTCCCTTCCACTCTGGAGGGGGTCCTTCTCGGGGTGCTGGTTCTGGGGGGCTCTGGTCATGCAGGCATGCAAAGGCTGCCTTCATCCGAACCCCTAACACTAGCACCCTTGGGCCTGAGAGGACTTGGGACTTGGCCTAAGACAGAAACCACCAGCTCTCTCCTGGGGGAGGAGGAGGGAGGGGCGGGATGGAGGGAAGGTAGGTAGGAGGGGAGGAAGGCAGGAGGCTGCAGCTCAGAGGCCAGAGGTGGTGGGCAACTCCAGGAGGGAGGGCGGGTGGGCGGCGGGAGCGGCACCTCTGGCCCTCGCTTCAGCACAGTGCGCAGGAGGGCCTTCACTTCACGGAGCCCGCCCGGAGAAGAAAGGCTGAGCCCCAGGCTGGCAAGCACCTTGCCCACCTGGAGGCTGTGCTTCCACAGCGACCTGAGCGTTCCCTGCCAGCCTGGGACCATGGTCTGATGTCCTTCGAGCCGGCTAGAGGGGCAGACGGGAATGCCCTCTACTCCCCAGACAAGGGCTAAGAACTGCAGGCTCAGAGGCTGGGGGTGGGGGGCACAGAGGGAAGGTGCTGAGCCTGGGGATGAGATCATTTCCTGGGATAGGTACAAAGCCCGCCCCATTCAGTTCCAAACCTACTGCCAGTCAGAGAGGCCTGGGGGTGGGGGTGGGGGGGGCGCTCCTGTGCTGGTTGGAGAGTGGACAAGCTACTCTCTTATTCTGAGACTGCCTGGGGGAGGGGTGGGGTGGCCGTTGTCTCCCCACAGGCCATGCTGGCTCACTGAGCAGTGTGCAGGTCCGCAGGGGGGCCCTGGTTTCTCCCTGGCACTCCAGTCCCTTAGGAGTGTGGGTGCGTGGGAGAGTGGTGGCAGTTACTCAGAATCGGAGAAAGCAGAGTCTTGGGGACTGCTAATCCGTCCCCTGCCCTAGCAGATGCTCTTAGCCCCCCGCCCCACCCGGCACTATCAGCTCAGTAAAGATGTGGGGCAGCTCTCTGATGATGAGGAGGAATTGCCAATGCTTCCCCTGGGGGAGGCCTGCCTCCCCCAGCAGCATGGCCCCTCCTTCCCAGCTCTGTGGCCCTTGTGGCCTGGGTCCTAACCTGGGTGAATCCGGGCCCATCAGCTGCCCATACTCAGGCAGCAAGATTGCCAGTATGCCTCATTTCCTCCTGGGTGGGCAGTGATGGGGGCACTGCCCGGGGCGTGGGCAGGCAGGGAAAGAGTAACATGGGGCCTCTGGGGAGCTGAAATAGCCCCCCTCCTCGAGGAAGTTGTTCTAGATGGATATAGGAGGTCCAGACTGACCACACAGCAGCTGACACCCCCCCCCCACCACTACCCCCATGAAAGACCCTTGTCCCTGACTGGGACTGTCACAGAGCCACTCAGACTGCATGTCCATTCTCTGCCACCTACCCCCTACACTTGCTGCCCACTGCCCGCTCAGGTGTCCTGAAGAACTCTGAACGGGACAGACTTGGGAATTCAGCCCAAGTCTACCCCGTGGATACAGTGATGCCAGCCTCCATTGGACCAAGGATGGCCCCGGCCGCCCTTCCAGATGGGCCGCCTGCATCCCTGTGCAGACCATCTCTGCCTCTCCCAGGCCCCACCCGTCAGGGTGACGAGCAGTGGAGGCTCTGGCTGACCTACAGGGTAAAGTGGGGGAATGGTGTCAAGCCCTTTCTCTCTCTGCCCAACAGGATGACAGGTCCCCAAGCCGCTGGGCCCTTACCTCTTTGTGTCGGAGATACACCACCAGGCCCAGGCCCAGCCGCCAAACACGTACTGTTTATAGTCGGAGCCACAGCAGCCCCCTGGAAGCAAAGCAAACCACACTGTTGTCAGTCTGTCCATCCGCAACCCCTCGACCAACAACTCTGACCCTGCTGTCCCCTGCACGGAGACTTGCCAACACCCACTGCTGGGGGCCAGGTGGCTTCAAGAAGCTCATGGAAAAAATGGAATGAGAGGATAATGGAATTTCCCCATGAACTTTTGGGAGGTCTCCCCGCCCTCAAGGAGCCTTGGAGATGGTTTAGGGCACAGGGAGTTTTCACAAAAAGAGGGAAGAGCAGTCTTGAGGGAGGGATTCCGAATAACAGCGCTTCCAGAAAACAGGTCAGCGGTCAGGAGAGCCTTCCATTTCCCATCCAGAAGCCAGCAGCTGCCATTGACTTGACTTCAACGCATGCAGCCCTGTGCCCAGAGTAGAACTGTGCGCCCACTGGGCTCCTCAGGGCTGGCACTTTTGGCAGCGATCGCCAGGTCTTGTTTTCTGAGGCTCCTCGGAGGGAACTCAAATTCCCAGTCTTCCTATTGGCAGTTGTACCCCCCACGGATGGCATGCATTAATTCCTGTGAGAGACAGGCAGGGTAAGGGGCTGTATGCTACACTAAGTACTCTACCCTGCATACAGAGACTGAGGACACAACGTGCCCTGCCTGTCACACGATGTGGCCTGCCTGTCAACAAGGGGCACACAGGTAGGCAGAGAGGGAAGGAGAGGGTGGGCCAGCTTGGGGAGGCTGGTAGGAGGAGGGCGTCTCAGAGGCATAGGGGGTCCCTCTCCTGGAACTTCCACACTTCCTCGTCAAGGAGTCCTGGCGGCTCCTTAGTTAAGGCCCTTCTTTGCTTACAGTGCTGCGGTCTGAACCCAGCAGGCCCTCCTGGGGAGAAAAACATGTCAATTTGCTTCCGGGGATTCTAAAAAAGCCACCTCACTGCCATGGAGTGGACTTCAACTCAAGTGGCCCTACGGGACAGGGTAGAACTGCCCCTGTGGGTTTCCAAGACTGTAACTCTTTACAGGAGTAGAAAGCCTCATCTTCTCCCCCCAGAGCCGCTGGTGGTCTTGAACAGCTGACCTTGCAGTTAGCAGCCCAATACAAAACCACTATGCCACCAGGGCTCCCCCCCCATCAAGACGACAGCCTTGGCAAGGGTGTGGAGCAGTGCTAGTCTGCCTCATAGGGTGGCTAAGAGATGGCACTGGATGGAGGTGTGGTTTGTTCGGGCTGTTCCTGATGGGAGGGGTGGAGGAGGAAAGACTTATAACAAATCTAACCGGAGGTCTAAAAGGAAGCCGGCCCAGAAAACTATGCAGCAAAGAGAGCACCTATCATTCAACTCTGACCCAGATCCCTGCTGCGCACTTGTTTGCCACGCTCTCTGTTCTACAGAAAGGAGACCCCTGGAAATTCTGGTGCCAATACCCCTCTCATGAGTGCCTAAATTAGTCATCCAATTAAAACAAAAACATGAGTAAAAGCTGCGAGGCAGTTAACTAACTTGCAGGGTGAAGTCCAGGAAACACGTGATTTGGAGGAAATGGGGTGGGAAAAAGCCAGTGAGTGGCCTTGTTTCCAAATTCACAAACTGAAGCGTTCATAAAGGCTGA